CATCTTCTGCAGATAATAGTAAAGCATACCATTCTCCACTTCAGTCAAGGATCGAAGGTGTATCCACCACCATATGTCCCAGAGGGGCAAGAAGGCTCCCCACCGCCTGCTCTTTTCGTCAATTTTTTTTTTTTTATCCATTGCGCGGAGAGTCCAGCTGACAAATTCCATGATTTGTTTTGTCTTTTCAGAAGAAAAAAAGGATATGGAGGCTATATCAAGACAGAGGAGAGCACATTCGACAGTCAGCAAACCAGAGGAGTAAAGGGGAGGGGAGTGGGAGCAGAGCAAAAACTGCCCACCTTCGCCGAGAGCCAGAGCAGAAGTGTTTGTTGATATTTGTTAAAGCCAAATCTATTTTTGAGAATTTTCCCACCGCATAGTGCGGCTAACACCGACTCAATGGGTGTCCGTAGATATGTCTCCGTGTTAATAGCCAGGTTCACTGTTACCTTGTCATGTTGATTTTTAAAAAAACACGAAACATCATGAGCCTTTGCACTTATGTCAAGCTTGGCAAAATCATTGGTTTATTGGTTTATTGTGAGGTGGCACATTGGGCGACTGGTAGTCACGTCCGCCTCACAGTACGGAGGTGCAGGGTTCGATTTTGGCTCTGGCCTTCCTGTGTGGAGCTTGCGTGTTTTCCCTGTGCCTGAATGGGTTTTCTCCGGGTACTCCGGTTTCCTCCCACATTCCAAAAACATGCATGGCAGGATAATGGAACACTCTAAATTGTCCCTCGTTGTGATTGTGCGAATGTTTGTTTGTCTATGTGTGCCTGGCTGGCAACCAGGTCAAGGTGTACCCCAACTGCTGGCTGAAGAAAGCTGGGATAGGCTCCAGCACACCCACAACCCTTATGAGGATAAGCGGATTCGAAAATTGATGGTTGGATGGATAGTTTATTGTGTGGCTTTAAAAAGATGGCTTGTTTGTGCTCCCTACAAACTTGCAATGTAGCAGTCCTGGTTGCTTGTTTCACCAACATCTATGAAAAGTCAGAGGCATATGGAACAGCCCAAGACCTACAAAAAAGTGTCTTGGGGCCGTATGCACAAATTAACAGAAAGTCTGCCATTTTGAATTTTTTATTCAAATTTGGCCCCATTTTTAGCTTTCATAGAGGTCACATTTTAAAGATCCCCTGAAGATTTTGTCAGATTGTTTTCAAACCTAGAGGTGTTTCATCTGAATATGTAAAATAAAAGCAAAGCTTTTATTTTATTTAATGATGTTGCCGTGGTAATGCACTGTTTTCCAGGTAAACTGAGATCGATTGTATTGGTCTAAACTTTCATGAAAACACACAAATTCGCACACAAATAACCGTTTGTTTTTATTAGTTTACAGAAGATGACTTAGTAAATATATCTAGAAAGGTTGAATGAAGCAGCCTCCATTGTAGGTTTTTCCAAGATGCCTATGTAAAAGCCCCAGATATACAAAAACAACTCTTGGAGCAATATGCTAAAGCCAACAGGAAGTCAGCCCTAATTACTTTCTTTCAAATTTGGCCCAATTCTTGGCATTTTATTTTCAAAAACTTTCCAATTGTCTTCAAACCGTGGGTGTTTATCTTCAGATGTTAAATGAGGGTCAAAACATGTGTGAATATAAATTGAAACTTTGCACACACAGCAGGCCTGAGAAAAAAATGAAAATACAGTACAAGTTAGAGGTTTCAATCTGGATATGAATCAGATTCATTGGCCAAGGATGTAAAAAAACACAAATAATTTACTTTTCCAGTTACAACCTGTCCAGAGGAACATAAACAAAACAATGACCAACAGGGGGAGACAGAACGTGAAGCCTTGCGGTTAGCTGTTAAGCACCCCGATATCTTAGATGTGAAAAGAAAATAATAGAGAAGAAAAGGGGTGAAAAAAAAATGACAGACTGAGAAAAAAAACTTCAGCACATGTAGCGCATATTTAAAAGACAAGTACAACAAATCTCAAAACTTGACATGTAGTGAAAGGGGAGGATGGAATGTAGGGGGGACAGGTACAATCAGATCGGCGAGCGCCTCAAGAGCAGAGCAAAAGTGTCCACTTCCATCGAAAGCGAAAGCAGAAAATCAAAATGTTAGAGGGTTATGGTGCCCTTTTCAAAAACATCTAAATTCCACTGTGTCAGTACTCCAATTTGCTTGAATCCCAACATGCCAGTACCCCAAAGTGGCCCAGTCTGCAAGGCCCCTTCATAGCTGGTTGCAGCTCGAATTATGTTTTTTTTTTGTCTTCTGTGTCACTCGTAAAAAGAGAAGGAGGCTTTTGTGTGCTCAGCTATATGTGTACTGTGTATGTGTCAGCGGACTGTAAGACTTTATTCTTTAATTATTTTCCATGAACTGTGTGAACTGGATGATTTATTCAAACATCAAGTGATGGCAAACGGGGAAATAATCTGTCTGCCTTGTATTTTTCTCAAAATCACAGTGTTTGGGCAGTTTTCCAACTCACTTTATATCACCAGGCAAATTAACTGATACTCGTGTAAAATAAGTACCTTGCTCAGCCCAACCATCTATCTATCTATAATCAAAAATACAGGATTACTGATATGTATATTCATTTTGCACGAAATGGGATGGATGTTTTCCATAATTGTCTGAACTTTATGAATATTTATTTTTATTTTTTTAAACAATTAAACATTAAATGACCACTGATTTCCAATCCTGTAAGGCTTGTTCTTTGCTTTCTTGATCTAAATGCTTTTGTCATGAGGGATTACAAAAACCCAGTGGCAGGCCGTGCATTTCAACCTTAGGCCTTCAGTGACATCACATATTATGAACACAATGCTGTACAGGCTCGTCAAGCAGCACTTAATTTCAGGAGCATTTAAAACCATCAAGTATACATTCACAATTAAGAGCAGGAAACTACATTTATAGATAGTCAAAAATAAAAACATGATTTAAAAATACGAAATAAAATGCCACCCAAATTACGCTGTGTGATCTTAACCAAGTCTGTCCAATAAATTGCGCAATGTCGCAGTTTCATATAAGACACCAACCAAACAATAACAAAACAAACTGTTCTTTGAAAATAAAGTAAACAGATCATTT